GTTACCATATTTAAAATGAAAAAGCATTTCCAGAAATGCTTTTTCATTTTAAGAATGTGGCTGCATTTTTTGACTCATAAATTAAATTAATAATCAATCATCCTGTTTGCATTTTCTTCTTCAACACTGCTCATCCTTTTAGTTCATTTAAATGAAAAAGAAAAAGATATTTCAGGGGTACATTTTGAAAATAAATCTCAAATCGCTTTTTCTTTTTCATTTAAATGAAGTAAAAGGATGAGCGGTGTTGAAAAAGAAAATTAAAATGCAAATATGATGATTGATTACTAATTTCATTTATGAGCCAAACAATGCAGCTACATTCTTAAAATGAAAAAGCATTTCTGGAAATGCTTTTTTATTTTTAAATTTTGCATTTCAAATTGAATTTTGGTATGTATTTGCTGGGGTACATTGTGAAAAATAAATCTCAAATGTCTTTTTCTTTTTAATTTTAATTAAGTACAAGGATGAGCGGTGTTAAAGAAAATGAAAAAGCATTTCTGGAAATGCTTTTTCGTTTTAAATATGGTAACGATTTGCTCTCATAGTTCTGCACACAGGTCAGCAGCAAAATGATGCAAAAAATCACCAAAGTCTCAGGGAGAAAACTAAAATAAATATACTAAATTTTTCTATTGAACTCATCTTAGTTTGGACTCCTGTTTGTGCTCAAAAATCTCTCTGCAAAGAAAATATTACATTTATAAGCATAAATATATATACATACAAATATACACTGCTCAAAAAAATTAAAGGACCACTTTGAAAACACATCACATCTCAATGGGGGAAAAAATCATGCTGTTTATTTATACTGATATGGACTGGGTGATGTGTTAGTATGCTGATGAAGATTCTCAGTCATCCAGGTCGTAGTTATTCCGTAAAAGTAAAAAAAAAACAATCCACTGGACTTGGTTTCCAAGATTTGAAGACGTTTCGCTTCCCGTCCAGGAAGTTTTCTCAATTCAAATGTCTGGATCCACAGTAAGTTTGAGGCCTTGTATTGCTTAGAAACATGCAAATAGAAACCGATGAATGGGTCGTTTGGTTCCATTGTTAGCCTGTAATATGTCTATGATTGTTAAGGGTCGGTCGTTAAAGGGGGG